AATTGAGCGTTCAGATGGTGACCGGAGCACATGGCCTCAGAACACGACGCGGATTGTAGACTCCGATGGGCAGGTCAATTACATGCATTACGTGCCTCTCGATGAGGGAATGGCTATAAAATGGCGGGTGCAAGTTGGACAAGCATTGGCAAATGGCCTTAATTGGCCCAGTAAGTTCTAATCGAAATGTGCAAGCTGTTTTGATATCCATACGTTACTCGCAGAGGGCTCTGCCTATGTGCTGCAAGATTGGCCGGCTGACTATCGAATGTTCATACACTACAAGGGACCAGCCTCAAATCCCCGGCAAGATGTCTATCTATTCGGTGTGCGATCTTGTGCAGACAGAGTTTAGGATAGAACTCAAATACTTCTTTACTTAGGATCAACAAATTCACCCAAATTTCGTTCTGTACCAGAATTCATACCACATGCCATGTGGCTCTGTGGCGACCCATCGGCAAAGTGTCAATGCAAGTATTGCTCAAAATCCAAGCAACGGGAAATCACCTCTTCCATGGGAGAGCGAGGGATCATTGAAAAGATGTCTCCTGGTCCTTCGAGTTCCCCCTTACGAACTTCGCTCCCGAAGCGGAAACTTCGAGCGGAGGGGAGCTCACTCCGTAACCAAATTGTCTATGCTGCAGTACAGAAAGCAAAACTGACAAGGCCTTCCACTTTCATCGTTCCAAAACATCCTGCACCTGTCGAAAAAATTGCTGATCTTGAGGCTGCGCATCATAACAACACCGCTTTGCAACTCAGACGGTGGTATAGGAATGATGAACTTGTATGGGTCGAGTTAGAGTCACCGATAGCCGGACTTAAAGGAAACGGCGATATCATCAAGGCCTGGCCAGCCATAGTAGAGTATTCTTTGACTCGTGTCAACCCTTCCAAAAGTCCTGAAGATGGTTCTACTAATTCTCAGAGCGGCTCACATTCTGACTATGATCCTGAAAACCCTCCGTGGACTGTCACCCATTATACCAAGTACAAATTGAAATTATTAGCCACATCGTGCTCTTTGATGGCACGAGATGACCAAGTTCTCCCTTATCATGCTTATCTGCCTCCAGCAGAACTCATTTACGCGCTTCAAGACGTTCCTCTCTCCAATATTCGGTTTGATCCAGAATACACTACCAACTTTACACCAGTCACCACCAAAAATCCTGATGAACTTCCACCTCCACCTCCTTCGTTCGAGGATAGCACAGGCCCATATGCGCTTGCTATCCAGATTGGCTCGCAGATTGCTGGATTTTGGGGCCTCACGGATGACTGGGACTTCAAGTTTTCCTTTAGAAGCGACCCACCTCCATCGACTGGGCCGTCGGATTCTCGCTCTGAAGGATATTCATTGCAGGATGCCATCATTGCTGCGGGAAATAGCAATGCTAGCAATATCGGCCCTCAGACATCTTACGGGAGCTCTGACATATCCGGGAACCGTTATATGACCGCGGAGGAATTACACCGAACGAGATCTGCTACACTTGGTACACCTAAAGCTGTAGGTCATACCTTTACTCAGAAAAATTTCCATGGTTTATGGTGGGGCGCCGAAAGGATCTGGACAGGAGATGTATTGCGGTTGAAGATGGGACGAAATGCGATTGCAAGAGACGGTGCACCTCACATCCTAGCTCCATCACCTGCCGGTCCCAAAGCGATCTTACACAGTACGCAGAATGGTGACAATGTAGACCCGAAAGAGCTTGGTGCGCGCTCTCGAGGCGTTTTCATGCGGCTGGATGCGCTGTTCATGGTAGAAGTGGACTTCGGGCAGGGCAGAAAGCGTAACGAGTGTAGAGCTGCTGGGATGTTGTACGAGCTTGCGGATATCGACTGGGTCGATCCTTCGGAAGAAAAGCATGAGTCGACGCCGGTAGAGACCAACAGTACCATCTCGGGCGGATATTCTAATGGAGTGTCGAACGCCCTTCCTCAACCTTCTCCGCTACGACCTACAGCCCTTCCTAATCCCGATCCCACCGTGCCTGTTGAAGATACTGCTCCGCAAATACTCTCAGAAATGCTGCCCCACTCGTCCGCGCCTGTGAGCAAACCAAAAGGTGTACACAAGCCACCGATCCCAGTTTCTCATTACGAGCTACCAGAACCTCCCACTGGGTTCAAGTTCCGGCCTATACTCGAGCCGGGATACGAGGCCGTATTCAGTCTTACTCTGCTAAGCGGACGATACTACCCTGGCATTCTTGGACATCCTCTTCTAACGGAAGCCATCAATCAGGCGTTTACGCCTGAAGGAAAGGTCGACCCTCAGACTAGCCATTTGTGGGCATTAGAGGGTCTGGAACCTGGGTTCACCAATTCTGTGGACCCTATCAAATATAAGAGGGAAAGGTTCAAGATGGTTATAGATGGAGAGTGCAACGCCAGGGATCAGCTCAAAGAACATCTCAGTGCTAATTTAAAGCAGACGAATGGGGATATATCCATGGAGAACGGCAACAACGAGAGTATGGATATCAATCCAATGGCAAATGACCAAATGCAAGTCGACTCGTAGTCTTCGGTCAATTTTGTTGTGCGTATATTGTTAATCTTTGCTTGGGTTAACGTTCATTCCATTCCCAGCAACCGGTCAAACACATTACTATTAGGTATAATCTACCGCGATGTCAGTTCGACAGTATTCTTGAATGCTCCCAGTAACGCGCTCATCTGAATTTTTTCGTTACCACCAGTGGAAAGACGGTATCTGAATTGTATCATAACATGTGTTTTTTTTTCTTGTAGACAAAGACCAGATACGCACTCTGTGGTAGCTAGATGATCGAGGATATAAATTCTAGCGTGAGGTTTTAGCTCGATTGTCTCGATGTACTCATACACGCCAGATAGAAGATCTTGAAGAGCTAAGCCACGTTCCGTCTTCATAGTTGATATCACTGAAGGATTACTTTGTGAATGATGACGTTCGAATCTTTGGGGGTACTCACATTGGTGGGCCGTTGTGTATTCGTCAGATAGCATTGATTTGACAATTGTTTCAATGTCAGAAGGATGTGGATTTCCTGTACAGTTATATATTTCTGTCTCTGTAGTTATGTCGTAGGCAGCATGACATGCTTGCAGGACGTTGAGAGCACGTCGCATATCACCTTTAGAAAGCTTCAACAGGGCCTTCTTTCCATCTTCTGTCAGTTTTACGCTATGAGGCAAAAATTGAGTACAGTATGAGGAAGGATTTGCTTGATACATACTTTTCCGTCTCCACAACAACATTTATCCTCTTCTCCACCTCTATTATGGGCAAAGGCGAAAACCTGAAGCGTGTACATCGGCTTTGAATAGCAGGGGCAATTTTGTTGACGTAATTACAGATGATGCAGAACCGGACGTTCTTGGTGTACTGTTCGATTACACGACGCAAAGCGGCTTGTGCTGCTTGTGTCATCATGTCTGCTTCGTCGAGGATGATCAGCTTGAAGCCTTTGGCGAAAAGTGTACGTGTTTCGGCAAACTGTTTGATCTGTTCTCGAACTACATCGATGCCGCGGTCGTCTGACGCGTTGAGCTGAAAAGGAGATCTATAACAAAGGGAATGCGGACACTGGAGGTATTGACGCACTTCAAGAATCTGCTTTCTGTAATCTCCACCGTATATTCGGCGAGCTACTGCAAGGATGGTCGAAGTTTTTCCTGTTCCAGGGGGTCCGTAGAGTAAGAGATGTGGAAGTCGGTTCTTCTCTATGAACTTCTCGACTGAGTAGCAGTAAGATCATGCGCGTTTATTTGGCCAAAAACGGGTTCATACTCGTGCTAGTAATGTCCTTATGAGAGACAACATCATCCAGTGTAACTGGTCGATATTTTTCGACCCTGAGACGCGTCAGATTAGGGATGAATGCTGAGATACATAATGACTTACCACGGTAGATTTTCGTTCAACTCGGAAAGAAAGACGTCCTCTGTGCTGGATAATTTCCCCTTGCCTTTCAAGGATGAGGGTATAGGGTCGACATCCATGAATTCATCATCGCTCATCTTGTACTTTGAAAGTGAGATAGAGCGAATTAGTCACGCGCGGACGCGTCAAACCTTCAAACTCCGCTTCATTTGTAAGTGAAGCTCCTATTTGAAATAATCGTACAATTCCTAACGACTTATTCTGACCTAAACCCCTTTGGTTTGCACAAAGATATCTCTGCCCTCCAATATCAAACTCGAATTACTGTTGTTACTCAATTAATAATCTCATATCACTAGCTCTCAAACACCGCGAGTTCTTTTTCGCAACCGGACAGTATCAATGGCATCGCCCGTGAGCAGCATATCGTGAGATGCGACAAGGGAGGCTCAGGTATCTTTGGATATCTTCGGTTGTTAATAGCCTACTTGGTCGACGACTCGCTTTTCTTACTCAGACAGATTCCTCTCACTTGAACTTTCTTGAATAACGAAAATTATGCATGGGCCTGGGTACTTACCAATGTGGGCGAGGAACTTGCAGCAGACTCCAGAGGTCCTACACATCAGGAGCGTTAAGAAGGGTGGCTCTGCATCGATGTTTTGTGAGCAGCACATTAGAAAGGTGTTGTTGTTAACAAAATTGAACACATAATCTTTTCCAACGGTTCCCTGAGCTGGACCAAGGCGGGCAGCGTTGCCACAATCTTCGGGCTTTCTACTAACTCCGTAAGTCATGTTTTTGGGGCTGGTAATATCTGTCTTTGGGCATCTTAGAAAAGGTTGAATACTTTCACACTCACAGCCCCCATTGGAGTTCAATCCCTGGCGGCCATTCGGATTTATCCATGCTTCATTAAACCTTCGAAGAGAAGGAGAAGGTAGGTCCTGACATAAGGGTGGTCAAGGTAATAAATATCCATTCTGCTCGCGGTAAGTTTCAGTGTGGTTTGTATTCAATGCACTATGTGTATTCGCTCGTTGATCTATAACTGATTCTATACTCAGCGGAGAAGGGAAAACGGCGCTCCTGATGCTTACTCCGCATCTCGTATGTATCTGGTGAGATGGCCGAGCGGTCTAAGGCGCCAGACTAAGGAGACCAACACATTTGATGTGTAGATTTAACGTATCTGGTCACATTGTGGCGTGGGTTCGAATCCCACTCTCATCATATTTTTTTCGTAACTTCAGATGGTTAAGTTCTTTGTATCGGGAACAAACCATTTACATACTTCATTGGCTCTTAATTTTTTCATCAACCCTCTGGTATGTAAGGCTAAATATTAAAGCGCGGGGAGTCGCGGCATCTGAGTATAGTTCATTGCCCGCGCCACTGTTTCTTGGTTTTGGGTCGTGTTAGCTTCTCATGCGTATGTGCCGTATAGCCCGTTGTATGGTGGTCATTCATAACACCTATCATTGATTTGTCTTCGTCTGGTCATATTCACTACCGCTCGTAGCTAGCAGCACCTTTTCGATCCCATCGATATATGACTAGCCGTCTTGAAGCTGTAATTACTAATTACTTCAGATTGATAATTCAAGCAGTGTGATTCTGCATAAATTTCTATGGAAATCTTCACTCCGTGTACTTAATTAAGACTGTAGTTTGTTTTTGCTTTCATCAGGCACGTGAGGGCTTGAAGCGTGGAAAACTGTACAGGCACTGCCACTGCCTACACAGCAACACTGATCACAAACCGATTACCAATACAACTAACTACTTACTGGCTCTTGCTTTTGTCAAAGACTCCACCGTTATTTCGTTGGATAGACAGAGGCGTCCAAAATCGGGATGCAGATTTTTGTGAAAACGTGTGTGGTTCCTACGCTATATTCCTGTCTCCACTAACGTATGTACGTTTTCGTAGCCTCACGGGTAAAACTATCACCCTCGAGGTTGAATCCTCCGATACTATTGACAATGTCAAGGCTAAAATCCAGGACAAAGAAGGGTATGTGTCCGAGTGCTGAAAATTCAGCCAACTCTGATTTCAAAGCTCAGGATTCCTCCTGATCAGCAGCGACTGATTTTCGCTGGAAAACAACTTGAGGATGGACGTACTCTTAGCGACTACAACATTCAAAAGGAGTCTACCCTGCACTTGGTGCTGCGTCTTCGTGGTGGTGCTAAGAAGCGTAAGAAGAAAACTTACAACGTAGGCTTCTTTAATCAGTCATCACAACTGCAGTTCTGACTGCCGCTATCTTTTAGACCCCCAAGAAAATCAAACACAAGCGTAAGAAGGTCAAGATGTCAATCTTGAAGTATTACAAAGTGGACTCGGATGGAAAGATCAAGCGTCTTCGCCGTGAATGCCCCACTGCTGAGTGTGGCGCCGGTATTTTCGTGAGTCTTTTGCTACTGTGTAGAACTTTAGAATAATGACACCGTTTCGTCAGATGGCTTTGCACAAGGACCGTCAGTACTGCGGCAAGTGCGGTTTGACCTACACATTCACTCCCGGTAGCAAGCCTCCGGCAGTTTAAAAGGGATATGAGACGTATGCGGATTAAGGTTTACTGTATCATGTTATGCTCTTATCCATGCCAATGACAATCCTACTAATACGTTCACGAATTCTTGTTGTCGTCCATCTCTGCCTTCCTCCAAATGTAAATGCCATCACATCGCTGTCATGATCATAGTTGCACACCCACGACAATTGAAACAGTTACGCATCTTATTGCCGTGAACTTCTCCGTTGGTGAACTTAATACACCATAATCTAGATTGCAGCCGGTTTTCTCGTTGTCTTCTGTTGGCAGGCTGTCACAGAATGCCGCTGGACATTGATAGCGAATTTAGCAGGTTCGTTATGTATAACAGCTAGTTTAGGGGAGAGCAAGATGACATCCTCAAAATTTGACCTGCCCCGTCGTTTCTCAGTAACTCATGGCTGCCCATGTCGACAACATTCGCAATGCAGTCAGTCCTTGCCTCAATCGCTCTCACATGTACCTTTCATGATATGATTTCGGAGGTCTACAAACTGCCTACAGATGTTAAAGAAATGGACGTAAATATTGTCTTACTCCCAACTGCGATACAGTTCACGCAGCATTGAATTTTAGAGATTGGCTATCCAGCACACCATCTGGTCACTGATGATTGGTGGACTCTTTCCTGTCAACGTCAAGGACCAGGTAAATGAATTACTGAGCGCCGCGCAAGAAAGACAACCAATTGTTTTGGATGTCGGATGCGGTTCAGGAATATGGCAAGGAGGTAATGGACTGAGACCACACACGAGGCTGACCATATCTATTATTCAGGGCCTTTAGCATGGCCAAAGCCTTTCCCCATGCTCAGGTTGTGGGCCTTGATTTGAATGCTCAAGAATTCTCGTAAGTATCCTTGTCTTCTACACAGAATATGCGCGAATTCCTACTTATTTTTACAGGGATGCGCCAAAGAATTTCAGGTACGTTGCTCCAAGGAATCAAGGCCATGACTTCATACACAAATTTGCTTCGCACAGGTTTATTCACGGAGATTCAGACCAAACTCTGCCAAAATTTAACGGTCAAGCATCCATCGTCCATTGTCGCTGCGTCGCGCAACATGTAAGAGAACGTATTCACTGTTCTCGGGACCGCCTTACAACTCGGTTGTTTAGGTCACGGACCCTCAAGCTCTAATTCTACTTCTTTCTCAAGCATTAGCACCTGGTCGCTATATTTATCTGCACTTTTCTATTCGAACACTTATCTTAATCGTTCAGGCGGCCTTTTACTCTTGGCTGATGGCGATTGGATTGTTTATGACCAGCACAAGAAGCTCGTGGAGCCTTTCCAGTGGTGGGATTGTGGTACCACTAGCTCAAGCTTAGTGGAACCGGCGGTACTCGAGGAAGACGCTCATGGCCGTTCGTGGTATGCAGGCTGGCTCAATTTTCTTGGCAATCTGACTCGGAGCAAAAATTATCGACCGATTGAGGAGCTAGTTCAGAATGCCGATGCGCTAACGGTGCTGGACTCACGCCGCTATCTCAGCCCAATCAACTGGCCTGGGGAAGGGATAGAGAACGGCGAAGATTTGGGAAAATTCTTGATCATCAACCAAAGAGTGAGTTTTCATAGCTACTTTGTCAGCCACTAGTTCACCATGGTCTTTATTCATATCGGGGCTTCGTGATCACAGAATTTTTTGCTTGGCTCCAAGGAAATCGCTTCACAGGCAGGATTCTCCCGGGAGATGATTGAAGTCTGGGGGCGACATTACGAAGCAGAGGTAGATTCTGGCCACTTTTACAATCTATGGCATTATCTCACTGCTCAAAAATAACTTACACCCGTGTATATGTATGTTTTATATATATATGACTAGGAGCGACAACTGTACTATACTCTAAGATACAATCTATAGTATACCTTGTGGAAATCTAAAGGTAAGAATAAGAAGAGATTCAAGAATCTAATGAGGAACCTGTCTGATCTAATGTATTACTCAGTAAGCTTAAGTAATTCGAAATCTTTCTGAACGCGGTCCCAATGCTCCTCATGGCCAGAGGTACCGTGTATCTCTATAATCGAAGGAAAAAGACGGTGCAGATAGTGAGCCATGGATTTGTCTGGTGGGGTCGAAGCCGTCAGAGTCATATAGCGTAAGGAACCGTTGCCATTTCCAGCGAATTTCATTGCAGCATCGCAGGTCAATTTGGCCGAATTAATTGGTATCGTGAGAGTGTCAAGAACAGACAGCCCTCTAGAGAGGATCGACAATCCAGCCAGAGTCGCCTTGGGCATCCATCGAGGGTCAAACGTTGGAACAGAACCTAGGTCGAGATGTTCGAGGTTAGGCCACCATCGAACGATCTGTTCAAGATCTGAGTCTCGAACAAGAATAGGAGGCGTAGTCTCAATAACAATCTGGCGAAGATTCCGGTGATGAGAAAGTGAATGCAAGTGCTCGAAATGAAGGAAGTCATTAGGATTGGTTCGAAGGAGGTTATTGACATATGGGTGAAGCGTGGTATCTGGGCTACTGGGGGTATCATTTTCTAAAGAAAAATCCTGGGTATCCATATGGTGTTCGATCGTCAGCTGAAGAAGACTGTCGTATGTTTTTTCCTTGATAGCAGCGAAAAGCCCGCCCCAAGTATTGTTGGTGTAAACCAATGGCTCTATATCGATACGTAAGGCTACAAGATTTCCGCTCCGCATGTTCTGTAAAAGCTTCTCAATCGAGTTGGCACGCCCACGAATATTAAGGGAGTGCAGTGAGGGAAAACATCCTTGCGATGAGAGAATGAAGTCTTCGGGTTGGATATGAGACGTGTGAATTTCTAATTCCCTGAGGTAAGGAAAAGTGGATATTGCGGTCAGAGTCTCGACGGGCAATGTGGCACCAACACAAAGGTGGAGGACCTTAAGACGCGAAAGATTGTTGACTGAGTCCATTACTTGGCCTGATGCGCCGCCACGCAAGCTCAGAGAATCGAAGCAGCTCGACACACGGTCTGCAGTTGTTAAAAAGTCGAATGCAGTTCTATTAGCGGTCTCAAAGGTGTTCGTTTTGAAGCCTAAGTCCAACTCCACCGTCTTCAATCCTTTCGCTAACGAAATGATGGGACTCAGCGAAGAGCACTTCGTCAGGGAAAGTTGAACAATGGAAAGCTTTCGAAAGATACACGTCTGTCCGTATTCTTGAAGAAGCAACGACAACAGCGTAGGGTGGAGACGTATATTCTCCCGGTAGACGATTTGTTTGACCCGCGAGGCGTAGCAATGCAAACGTCGAAAATCGGGGCAAAAAGGCAATTCAAGGACCTGTTATTTATGTCGGCTGAGGGAGGTAGAGGCACAGGATTATCAAGGCTCACGTAGACTCCATTGACACACAGCAAGCCAGGTATAAGATCTAGCAAAGGTTTGAAGGACGAAATGCGCCACCAGAGTCGATCCAACGCAGGGTCTTTCCATGCCTGACAAGTTCGCGCGATTCGACTGAGCGTCCAGCTCTCAGTACAAGAGTCAAGGATAACTTCTAAGATCTCATCTATAAGCAATGCTTGGTGCATGCTCCTGACCAAACGAATGTGAGTTTGAAAGGTAAGTAGAAAAAAAAGAACAAATTGGCGCCTAAAAATTTTGCGTGGGAGAATTTTGATTTGTTTTCAAGATAACCAGCTTTGACCTGCGATTTTCTAAGGTTTTTGTTTACCTCTT